TTTTGGTACAACGTATAAGTGTGAGTCTGTGTACTCTACAATATTTGTAATTTCAAAATACGGTGCACAATTGACCAACATTTAACAGAACTGTTACGGACGGCTTTAACTGACGTAAAACCAGATTTTGAAAATTTGCCAAAGGGACCTTTAGAATTTTCTTTAATATCTACATATCCTACGTACATTAGAATAATAATAAAATTAATGTTTTTCATTTCAAATAATAACTTTATTGAAAAACAAAATTTTTGTTTTTGTTGTTTTTTTTTTTGTGGCTCTTTGTAGCATTTAGAATTTACATGTGGCACTTTTCAGCCTCGGCCTTGCCCACCCCTGTTATATGGCTTAAATTACCGATTTTGCTAGAGGGTCATAAACTGGATGCTGCTTTACCGAAGACATTATTATCTTTTTTATACCGACATATAATAAAGCGCTTTAACACAAAACGGATGCATAAACCAAATTTCAGTACGCTCTGAATTTCAAAAGGGTATTGACTCGAATTTGATTTCAAATCGGTTTTTTATTTCTCACATCGGTTAGAAAACAGGTATAAACACATCACTCATTTGACACGAAGTGAAAATAAGCTGGTTTTGTTTATATAGCCCTCACTAAGTAGAATTCTTCTTTCTGTGTTGCCGAAGAAGAGGGGCGCGGAACACATTTTGCATATAACACCTTTCTTTATATTGTGGTTTGTCGACCAATGAAAAATAAAATTGATTTGTGATTCGTTGCGGATAACTTAATTCTGCTAATCAAAAAGGATCAACAAATTTAATTAGGCCGTGCGGGCATAATTCATTTGGCCAAGTGAAACTAGGCGGCGATCAAAAAATGAAGCTGATCTTTATCTTCAACTCCATCTTCATCTTAATCTTCAGCTTCGTCTTCATCTTCATCTTCATCTTTAACTTTGCCCTGTTCTTCATCATTATCATTGGCTTGATCCTTCAATATAGACCGTGAGTGTCTATGGTTTTGTCGTTGCCCTTGTCTTTGTTTCTGCCCTTGTATCTTGCTCTCAGCTTTTTCATTACCCACTCCGCGGTGGCGTTAAAAGTCCAAAGGAGCCGCCCCCTGCATATTCACGCATGCGCATACGCATATGCAAAAATTAAATTTTATTTTCTGAGCAAAGAATTAAGCTCAAAAAATAACCATTATTTTCCGAGCAAAAAATAAAACTTAAAACGTAACGATTATTTTCCGAGCAAAAAAATAAAACTAAAAAGTAACCATTATTTTCGGAGCAAAAAGTGAAACTTAAAACCTAACCATTATTTTTGGAGCAAAAAGTAAAACTCAAAACATAACGATTATTTTCTGAGTAAAAAATAAAACTCAAAAAATAAGGATTAAAAAGTAAAAATCAGTGCCGCTGAAGGTATTCCGAGTAATAAGAAATATATTGGTTTACTCCTTGTGCACATTGCATTTCTCTTCCAGTGTGATTTTTTTGCGTTGAAATTTCAAAAATAATCGTTATTTGCGGTCCCTGCTTACAAGTAATTTTAAATTCTGAGGAGTTCTTTCATATAAGAGGATAAAAAGGACAAAAACGCTATCATCGAAAAATGTAACTTTTTTAAACTAGTTTTTATTTTGGTGAAAATATTTACAAGTATAAATTTATCCCGCAGAAACTTCTTACTTTATCTATCTCAATTTATCTTATCTTATCAACTTTTTTGCCAGCCGCGGCACAATAATTCGTCACAATTGTTACAAACTTTTGCTTGATTAAATATAACTTTTGTCAACTGTTTTTCAATTGCGATATGCATAACATGCCAATGGAAATGATATTTTAATTGATTTTACGATCAAATGTGCTGTACAGTATCGATAAATTTGCTATAACGTTTCTATTTTCTAATCGATTTGCAAAAGATTTAAATCTATATATGTTGAAATTAAATAAGCTTTAATATAGCATAAAAATAAGAAGAAAAAGTTTGCAGCTTTTAGGTGTAATTCACAGTAGAATATCGATGCGACTTAAAATTGTGTCCGTTTTTACCCATAAATTTGCAGATAACTTTTAAACTGATAATTTGATTGCAAAACATTGTATAGCAGGTTCATAGGGATTTCAATCTTCTCCTTTAATCTGGTGGAGAGGTTTTTGCGGTGTGATAATCAGAACCGGTTATTTTTGTAAAAAATTGAAAAAGCTGTTTTCTCAATTTAAAAAAAAAAACGATAATTTTGCAAATTCTTAACACCTATTCTACTTTTTTTATTTTTGACCTCATGTTCAGATTCTGCGAGCTATTTTACATAGCAAATTACGATTTTCAATGTATTTTGCTAAAAACTTTTTTCCCTGAATGCATATGGTTTTCTAACTTTTCAAATGCAACGCAAAATACACCTCTTTCCGCCAGGCAAAACATTTTTTTAATAAACGGTCTAGTATACATACATATATAACCAGGGACCGTAACGGTTATAAGTTTTATTATAAAAATCACTGTTTAATCGTTATTAACTGAGTTTTATTTTTTGCTCGGAAAATAACCGTTGCGTTTTAAGTTTTATTTTTTGCTCGGAAAATAATGGTTACGTTTTAAGTTTTATTTTTTGCTCGTTACGTTTTAAGTTTTATTTTTTGCTCGGAAAATAATCGTTATTTCTTGAGTTTTATTTTTTGCTCAGAAAATAAAACTTAATTTTTGCCTATGCGTATGCGCTTTTTTGCACTTTTTCTTGAGAAATGTGGTTCTCTTTGTTTCTGCCCTGGTATCTGTATTTTCATTACCCACTCCACAGTGGCGTTAAAGGTTCAATGCAGCCGCCCCCTGTCTATTCACGCATGCGCATACGCATACGCAAAAATTAAGTTAAGAAATAACGATTATTTTCCGAGCAAAAAATAAAACTTAAAACGTAATCATTATTTTCCGAGCAAAACATAAAACTTAAAACGTAACGATTATTTTCCGAGCAAAAAATAAAACTTAAAACGTAACCATTATTTTCCGAGCAAAAAATAAAACTTAAAACGTAACGATTATTTTCCA